TGGCGAATAGGGTGCGTGGGGAAGCAATTCGAACTTTAACTCAACATCCTCTCGACGCTGCTTTTGTTCGATTGTGAGCAAGCGCGGCACCCACCTTGCGCACAGCTTTCTCATCTCCAAATTTTCAGCCAATATGCGATGTACAGCATTTTTTGAAATGTTTACCATATCTGCTAGCTCGCGCACTTTCAATCGACGGTCACCCAATACCATTTTGTGGATTTTCTTCACCATTTCTGGAATGGCCACCTCACTTGGTCGGCCACTGCGATGTTCGTCTTCGCAGCTCGTACGGCCTCGTTTAAACTCTGCCACTCAATATTTTACTGTTGTAAACGAAGGAGCAGACTCCTCCAGAGTAGAATCCAGTTCGCCTTTGATATTAGTTGGGCTAAGACCTTTCAAATGAAAGTATTGTATCACATAACGATGACCAATTTTTTCCATCTTTGCAAATTCACCGAGATCGTCCACTATTGATGGCTGCCAAACAAATACTGAACAACGTAGCGTCTTCAAACTTCATAGTTAAGCTTTAGAAAGTTGGTGCTTTCCCCTACAGTGATTTTTTTTATACAACAACCGCCATTTGTACGTCAGGTCGGGTACTTCTGGGACCACCCTCGTAACGTACACTACAGTATTTCAAATAAACTTTTCTCGAATAGGATGTTTTGGAATGTAGCTTAGAATATGGATGTCATTGCAAAACTTGATAAAAATATACTCATTTAATACATTTTCATTTGAAATGAGAGAATATAGTAAAATTAAGAAAAATGTGACAGTCTGCTTTATGAAGCGATTATTCAGGTTAGGAAAACGAGTTTTCTTTATCTGAATAGTTATTAGAGCTATGTAAACATATATATACTATTGTGATCAAAAAGTAAGGTGAATTTTGTTATAAAATAAAAAATCTTTATTTATTTATCCAAATCAATTTGATCCCCTTCAAAGTAATCCCCCTCCGATACAATGCACTTATGCCAACGTTTTTTCCATGCCTCGAAGCATGCCAAAAAGTCGTTTCCCGGTATAGCCTTCAAAGCGCGCAGCGATTCACGTTGAATCTCTTCAATAGATTCAAAGCGGTGTCCCCGGAGCGGTCTTTTGAGTTTGGGAAATAGCCAAAAGTCACACGGAGCTAAGTCAGGTGAATAAGGCGGTTGCGGAACGATATGAGTGGAATTTTTGGCGAAAAACTCACGAAAAATCAATGCCGTGTGAGACGGCCCATTATCGTGATGCAAAAACCAGGAATTGTCTTTCCATAAATCCGGCCTCTTCTTGCGAATAGCTTCACGCAAACGACGCATAACACTCAAATAATATTTCTTGTTGACAGTTCCTTGATTTTCTTCACGTGTTGCTCATCAATTGACGTTGATAGTCGTCCGGGGCGTTCCAAGTCATCAGTACGTTCTCTGCCTTCTTTGAAGTCTTTGTACCACTTATAAACATTTTTCTGCGACATAGTCGATTCTCCGAAGGCCCTCTGCAACATTCTGAACGTTTCCGCAGCCGAAATTTCATTCCGCAAACAAAATTTAATGGCACTTCTTTGCTCAGCAAAATCAGACATTGTAAAAATCGCCAAAATCACTTTTAGTCGTTTAGAAAACACAAGCGTAACTATATGACTAATGATGACATTGACATGAAATTTGCCACAGATGTCGCTAACAGTAGTACCAACATAAAAATAAAAAAGTTTGCTTGAATCGATTAGCGCGGGAAGTTTAAATTAAAAATTCACCTCACTTTTTGATCACAGTAGTATGTAAACATCATCCGAGCGTCCTCGTGTATTATCTTATTATTCAATGTTAAATACAAAGATAAAATGATGTGGGAACATTTGGGTAATATTTCCGAACATAGCTCTAACATTTAATAATTCAGTTCGTAAAGCGTACCATCACGTTTTCTACCAGATTCTTTCATTTTGAATGAAAACGTGTCAAATAAATATATATCAAGTTTCGTAATGATGCTCGTATTCTAAATAATTATCACAATAAATAAATAAATACAAATTTCTTATTAATAAAAAACTTGTTTCGTGCGATTTTATCTTATTTAATTTTGATTATTTTTATTTTTATTTTCAATTTTATTTATACCGACTTTTCTTTATGATCGCTCAATATATTATACTAATTTAATTATTGTATTATTAAATTATTATTATTTATTATTATTATTTAATTATTGTATTATTTGTTATTATTTGCGATAATTTCATGAAATTTTCAGATGGCTGTTGTACATAACTTGTGACCATATGTAAAATGATCATCATCAGACGAAAAGAACATTTCGATGGGTATATGGAAGCATATAACCGGTTATTCGTTGATAATTTTTTTTTAATCCATCCTTCATCTTTCAAATAGACGATCAACCCAAAATCTCTTTTTTTATATTTTCTTTTTAAATTTATACATTTAATAATGCATACAGTTGCTGTTAGTCTATTTTGTCGTAGTTTCGCTTTATTTTTATTGTGCACAATTGCTTGATAGGTCCAGTCGTAATACTGTTTTTGTTTGGACTTTACAGCATTTTACACAACACAATTAATATAATTACCGTCAAAAATTTATCACTGTTAGCCCATTTATATGAGCGACATTCGAGGTTAACATCAAGAGACGATAGTAGCTCGCGCCAAGTGGGCGCGCAGCGCGAGACCGCCCCATCTTTTGGGGGGGGGACTCGCTGACGCGAGTCAGCGAGTTGCAAGTATCCGAAATTATCGGTTTTTTTAAATAAAAGCTGAATCGATTGACTTTTGAATATGAGTTCAATCGACAACTTGGGTCTGAATTATATAAGCATTTATTTTACTTCTACGTATCCTATGAACGGAGATATTATGATGCGAAATTCGAAATGTCAAAATTTTCACGTAAAATACGTTATCGCCTTAAAAAAAAGTCATTTCCTTTTCATATTTTCGACGGTAGATGGCACTCGTTTATTGCTCTCATTAGTCTCTATAAGAGAGTCAATGTGAAGTAAAACGATGTCTAACAGGGACTCTATTAGAGGCTCCACACAATAAAAGGAATAGGGAATAGAGAATAAAGAATTTTAATCTATCAGAAATCATTGTGAAATCACAGTTTCTGAGGTTGAAATTCTTATTCTCTGTTCTCTGTTCTCTATTTCTTTTATTGTGCGGAGCCCCTTAGAGAAGGGCTCTAGATCATAGACTTTTATTATAACACTCTAAGCCCGGATCCTCATACGGGCAACAGCACTTTGACATCGAACGCTGATTGATGAAAAACGGGTGATAGAGGTAAATTTTATCCCTACAACCGACTTTTCACCAATCAGCGCTCTGTGTCAATGCACTGTTATCTGTATGAGGATCCAGACTAAAGCCGGGAGCATATAAAAAAACGTAAGGCCGTAAGACGTAATCAGTAAGGAAATCATCAGATTGGATTCGCTACTGGCCTTATGGTCTCTACCGTGATTGGACAATTCGTTTACTGATTACGTCTTACGGCCTTATGTTTTTGTATATGTCATGGGCTTAACTTTCTACTTTTCCTGTTGTCAGATAGGTGTTTATAGTCAATTCTTAAATTCAAGATCGTCTTAAGTATAATCTTAAGATGTCACAAACCAATCAGAGAATTGCATTAGCGTCTTAAGACATTACTTAAGACGGGCTTGGAATAAGAATCGACTATGAATATCGGCCATAGTATTACTTGTGGCACATGCACATTGTAAAACCGCGCATGTGTAAAACACCATATATTTATATACTTTCATATACTTGAAGAGGTTATATATACACACAGAATGAACGAAAATTAGGTTTATTCAATGTATTTTTGCATAAAATGGAAGCGTTTTCTCTTGGGATACACTGGGTGCAGCCCTCGCACCGCACCAGTTGTGTATAAGCGCTACACTCAGCTACACTACAACAGAGTGGTGCTTACTATGGTGTACACTACATCATTATTGTGTTAAAACCCTATTTCCGCTTGATTTCCATTTTCAAATTTTAAATGTCACACTGGCTCTACATCGTCCGTTTGAGACAGTGTAGCAAAATCCCTTTGTGCATAAAATTTGCACTACACCGTAGCCACGGAAACACGATACGATTGTCTGAGTATTGCACTAGTGGGCGATAGAACAGCCAAGAGAAAACGCTATAAAATAAGTAATAGTGCACGTGGTTCATAAGTTCGTGAAAATTAAAAGTTAGATCGCCATGACATCTTCTTATATACTTAAGAACCAATCACAGAAAGACTGATCACGTGACCTATTGGCATCTCTTTTCTATACATCTCGATTTTCCATTGCGCATTCACTGCGCGCAAGCAACACTTTTATATATAGAAAAGTAGGGAGTTAGTCTAGTGTTATAATAGAAGCTCTAAATTCTCTACTACGTAGAGCTTAGAGTCAGATGGAAGCTTTGATTAATAAAGTGATAAAATTATTTTAGATGTTTCAAAATTATAAATAGGTAAACCTATACATTATTATTAAGATTTTGAATTAAAAAAATATAAAAGATACAGACATTATTTGGTAGGAAAGCGTCGAAAGTAACATTCTAACCTTATCATTAATCATATAATTTTAACGTCTTCTTCGAAAAAAACATGACTAAAACATATTAAAACATGACTAAAACATAATTAAAACATATTGTCAAAATAATTTAATTTTAAAAATAATTTTTAAAATTCCCAGTATATAGCAATTTAACGATGGCAAAAGACATTTTATTGTAAAATAAAGATATTATTAAAAACATAAATTCTACTTATTATTATTGTATAATTTAACGTAAATTCTACTCTCACAATTTCTAAAATCTAAATTATCGCGTTCACAATATTCAAAGTGGGGATATAATAGCATCGATGATTGGTTCCCACATTTTATTTCAAACCAATAAAAATTTTGACAAGATTGATGCGACTTTCTTAACTACGCATTGAAGAATGAGATTAAAGATTGCAATTTTACCAATAAGGACAAAGAAGTTTTGACTCCTTTTATTCTGATTGGTCAAACTTCAATCTTTCAATCTTCAATCTCATTCTTCAATGCGTAGTCTGATTTCGGCCTAAGGCTTATGTCCACGATGCTAGAAATCGGTCTGAGATCTCCATCCGAAACAAAGTTACTAGATCTTGGGTCGTGGACACAGATAACTTGGATGAAAATATTGTAAACAATTGTAAACGACAACAGAAAAAAATATCAGGGTGCTCCTCGTCTTGATCCCAGGCCTGGTCTCTCCTCCGGGTTGGTAGACTTTCGCTCTATCACTGAGCCACTGCCTTAACGCTATTGTGTCCATATCTAGTAAATTTCTTACAATATTATAGAAATCTCGAATGTCTGTATCCACAATGCTAGAAATCGGTCCAAGCTCTAGATATCAATCATGAAACTTTTTCCTAAGATGAAAAGTGAAAAGTAAAAAATTTTTCCATTAAATGATTAAAATGTTCACTTTTCAATTTTCATTAGAGATAAAGTTTCATGATTGATACCTTGAGATCCAAGGAAAAATTATTAAACCGATATAGACAATTCTAGTGAAAATTATGTCTAGACGTCTCAAAGCAAAAATGCATCATGTCTCATTTTTCCGTTCGATATAGTAATTTTTGGTACTGACAGAATATTGGAACAGTAACCACCACAAAAGTATTAAGGGGGGAAATACCTTTAGGAGGCTAAAAAAATGGTTTTCCAGAATTTTTTAAATATAGAAAGTACTTGGCTAATTGTTTCAAATTTTTTTATGCCACTTTGTCTATCTTTTGAGTACATAAATATATTTTTTTTTATTACAAAATATTAAAAAATACTAAAGCTGCAGCGCCACAAATAACAATGGCGATGTGAGTTGTCAATCGGCGGGACATGTAGTTCCTGTTGTATTGATCTGAAACAAAATTTTTAATTTAATAAGATGTATACACTTTATGTAAACTAAAAAAAATGAAAAAAATAAAAATTGAAAAAATGACGCATGTTTGAAAAAAAAAATTGAATTTTTCACAAAATTTTCAGTTGAATTTTACAATAAAAAAGTACTTTTGTAAAATAATTTTCATAAACATTTTAGTTCACATAGAAGGTAATTATATAGTTTAGTTGTATGTTCAATTTGAAGAGGATTGGTTAAGTAGTTTTTTAGCTATCTTGTACGCCAATTTTGAAAATGACGTTTTGAGAAAAATGCGTTCAAAGTTTTGAAAGATAAAAATTATATGATTTCATTGATTTACTGGTTAGTCTGCGATCCCAGGAGCATACAACAGCTTCAGCTTTCTCGTAAAGCTCGTTTTCCATTAAAAGTTACTCTCGATGGACTTTACGAGCTTCTTTTGTCTCCAGCTGCGACGCTCTTGCCGAGCTACTCGCAGGTTATCATTATCATCGGCATACGATTTACTTTGCCTGCCTATTATGATATCCAGCATACTCATGATGCGCAGAATGAATGAATGAACATTCTTTGTTGAACATTCCAGCAGCCAAGTACGCTGCAATCTCAATAATTTTTAACCCACAATGTAGGTGCTTTGGAGCGAGGCGCCATACAGTTGAGTTAAAACTTTCATTCGCATTCTGCATGTAGCCACCCAAGCATCTTTGAAGTAAATCTTTCTTGGATAGATCTTCGTATATTGATAGGATATGTTTTTGAACATCAGGATGCACACACAGTGGGATAGAATGTTTAAAATTTCCACCGATGGCTTGACTTTTTTGCTACTTGCATCAATTGTCGGCTCCCGGCAGGCAGTCCTCGTGTCTTAGATTTTCATTCGTGGAGCACATATGATAATAAGTAGCCATTATGGCTTTTTTCATATTCTCAACACTATTTACATTTCTTCTTATAGCCAAATCATAATAAGAAGTGAGTTATTTAATGAATCAATCCTTCTCGGTCAATTTGCTTTTTCCGCCAAGTTTATTAACTTTTTTGACATTTCGAAGCCGAATGCCCATTCTTTTTCTCGAGTTCAAAATTATAACCTCGACACTCTCCAAAACATCTAATCAGTTACTTGAGCAAACAATAATATCAGAGAAGGTATTATGAGAGAGGGGATCACAATAGACGGATTCTATTGCCCGAGCGCACGATTATACCTGTGGCGCGTTACGTACAGGTATATATAACTTCGCCAATTCTTCGAATTTCGATTTAAAATTTTGTCAGTATATTCTTTATATGTTGTACTAATATTTTATGCAAAAAAAATGCATTTTTTGAAGGTTGTAAAGGTATTTTCCCCCTTAATTATTCGTTCAGTAAAAATATTTAACGAATGTTTTGTAAGTATAAAATAAGAATATTGAATACATTTAAATAAAAAAGTTAATTATTAATTAATATTTGCTCATAAATTTTTTATAAGGAAAATGCACTATGTTTAATTGGAAGGTTAACTTATACACACACGCACGCACGCACTCACGCGCGCGCGGGTGTGTATGTGTGTATATATATTCATAAATATGATAATTTTTAGAAAATAGATAAATAAAGACAACATAAGAACGCTGTTATTATTATATGAACAACATCCTTTGTTGTATGTGTAAAGTTAGCTAAATATTACAACCGAGCCAAAAGAGAGAACGCTTACTAAGAAATATGTTAGCAATATCAAGAAATAACAAAACAGCCTTTAATTATAGAAACTGCTAAAAAAAATTATTAATAAAAAAATTAATAATAATCAAAATAATAATAATCAAAATTAATAATAATCAAAAATATTGTTCGTTTTGTCTCTCGAAAGCTGCTCCAGGGTCGCTTCGAATGAACCTGTAACGTCCTGGATTAGAACTTACAATGCTCCGCTTTGTTTTCCGGTCAATCTGCTGCACAGACTTTACCAGGGGACGCCCGGAGCGCGGAAACTGATCGAGATGAAATGGTTTTCGCTCATAAAAAAAATGACGAAACCATATAACACTGAGTGTCGGTGAACGCGGTGAACTCAGTGAACGCGGTGAACTCAGTGAACGCAGTGAATATATTTAAAATAAAACTCAGTGAACGCAGTGAATATATTTATAAAAGAGGAAACGCAGTGAAACTTAAAATGTACTCGGTGAATATACGCGAATGAAATTTAGATTACGCGGTAGAATAAAAACGTGCGATCAGCACGGGAGTCAGTTAGCAACTGCCAGGGCGTTGTCGATAGTCTTCTTTGTATGCCTCGGTCCTTTCGTTAGACTCAATATTTTGGATAGATAATCATGGTATGCGGCTCTGTTTACTTCCAGCATCGATCGATAGCTCCTCTTGAGGCGTCATGGTACTTGATGTTCGCGCAGTGTGATACATGAATTTTCTTAATATTAATTATATTTTATATTTAACAATATAAAAAGGGGAATAATGGAATAATAATAAAAGATAGTTAACAGAATTAAAATATAATGATAGAGACTTAGTAATTTAAAACTAATAAAATATTTGCATGTCGTTGGGCATGTCTGTGTTATTCGCAATTATATACTTATATTAAAATAATACAATAATGATAAAATAGTAATAATAAAATAGTCATAAAAGTAGTTATAGAGTTATATAAAATTTATAAAGTAGTTATATTAAAAATGCGCGGGTTCAAGCCGGCGTTCCCGAAACCATTAATAAGGTAGAATATAGAGGGAAAAATCGGACGACGACGTTACAAACCCACCGTACTTGAAATAGCTGCATTCGGTAATGCAAATCTGAGGCGTCGGAGTGCTCTTATATTATAGCATATGTCACGTGCACTGTAGAAAAAGAGCACTCCGACGCTTCAGATTTGCATTGTTGAACGCAGCTAATATAGGATTTACACTATGTATGACATCCGTCATACAACATCTGACATTCATTGTTACGATGAATGTCGGACGTCGTATGACGGATGTCGTACATAGTGTGAATCTTACATTTCAAGTACACTGGGTTCATTCGCAGCGACCCCAAGCAGCTCCCGAGAGACAAAACAAACAATGCTAATTTAAAAAATAAAAAAGCAAATATTTATATTTTAGTCACTATTAGATAAGATCAAAATTGGATCTCGCTGCCTAATAATATGTATATGTAAATTTACATTTATCAGTTTATTTTAAAACTGCATGCCGTTACTTTCGGATATAAATCATGAACTTTCGGACGCAATCATAAACTTTAATCATGTCTTTAGCTGATAAATGTAATTTGATATATAAATTATATATGAATATTATTAGGCATAATAATATTATAGGCATAATAAATATTATTGAGATCCAGCAATTTTGATCGTATCGGGCAGTGATTATTAAATAGTATCATCTACTAGAACAGTCATTGGAAATTTATATTCTATTATACCTTGCTTTCTGTAAAGAAATATTACACGTTGCACAAATCTTTTGTGTAAATAAATAATTTACTACGCTTCTATTAAAATAAATATTTATTTGAAGGTTAGAAAATTGTGACAATAATTAATACAATAAGAACCTTCAATAAAAATATAAAGCCATAAAAAATCAACCACTATCGATTGTAACAAGAATAGTTCACCAATGATTTGATTAAATCAACATTATAGAATCATTCGAGATAAGAGAACTCTGTACGAGAATTATGTCTGAGAATTCGGACCAATTTCTAGCATCGTGGATACCAAAGCCTTTATTGAGACTCTAGCTCTTATTTACTGATTTATTTATCTAGTTTTATTAGCACTGTATTATATGTGACGACATTTTACTGTATAGTTACTTTAATAAAACTCCTGGACTATGTTCAGATTCCCACCCGGGTGTCATATCATTCTTGTTTAACATTAATGAATAACAAGGATAGAGTGATATCTGGGTGGCACTCGAGTGGGAATCTGAAAAACATAGCCCTAAGTAGTTGCGGCAGCCATGTTGGATTCATGACATCAGAAGCGAGAAATGATACGTAAATTTACGCTGCGAGCTATTTGTAAATAAAGACAATTTGGATAAATTTAAATAAGAGAGATTGCTTTAAAATACCTGTAAAAATGGGCAGAAATTGTCCTTTTCTCCCTTAATAGTCAATAAATGGTCGTAAAAGACAGGTAAAATGAGCCAAATTTTGGGCAGAAACACACGGTTTGAACAGCTGTTGAAATGAATGAAATATATGCTTTTATGTATAAAATTCCATGATAATTATGGTTTCTGCCCATTTTTAGAACTTTTATAAGTCATTTTTCCATGGCTATAAGTTTATTTATCGTGGCGAGACTCTGTAACACACAAACACGAGCCCATATACATGTGCTCACTTCCGGCGCGAAAACACATGTACATAGGCTCGTGCTTATGTGTGGATGGTATCGATTTCGCCACATTTCGCCGACTGATCGCATACCGACTACTCAGGAGCCTTAAATTAATAGTGTATAAAAATAAAAATATAAAACGAACCATTTGACATGTGAACGTCATTGCGTATATGTATATTCATGTCGTTATCAAATTCGCGACGCTGGTACTAGCTTTATCTGGAGTTTTTACATCAACAAACTTTAGATTAAAATTACTCACAGAAACTAAAGCCGCAATCAAAAATTTAAAAACACTTTTATTATATATTGTCATTGATATCTATCAACTGTAATCAGTTCGAATAAAATTGGTGCAGCCGATACCGAGATTCCTAAAAAAGGAATCATTCAGCTTTTTAAATTTTTTCAGTTGTATGTGTGACAGATACATATACCATCTGATCAAATTTGACCCGGACTGGTCCATTTAAACCGCGCGCGTAAATTGAATCGGTAAAAATTTTTTTTTTCTAGATTGGTACAACCTTCTCTGACATTCGTGTGAAATTTGAGCGGGATACGTCAGTTAGTGTGTGTTTGGCAGCCATTTGTTTACGACGCAAAAAGTTTCTCTGGCGATTTTTACTATGAAAAAAAAAATTGAACAACGAGTTTGCTTGAAATTTTGTGTTTCCAATGGAATTACAGCTACGGAATCATTGAAAATGTTGCAGAAGTGTTTTGGGGAGTCTACTCTATCGAGAACGCAAGTATTTGAGTGGCATAAAGCATTCAGTGAGGGTCGTGAGGTCGTAGAAAACTTGTCTCATGCGAGTCGTCCATCCACCTCTGTTAACGACGATAACATGGAAAAAGTGAAGGAAATTGTGCTTGAAAATCGTCGTGTTGGCATTAGAGAGATAGCAGAAGCTCTCAACATCTCTTATGGATCGACTCAACACATTTGTGGGCAGACAATTCATGGATTTTTCACCACGATAATGCGCCGTCACATTCCAGCCTGATTGTGACTGAATTTTTGGCCAAACACGAAATAAAAGTCATCGCTCAGCCACCGTATTCGCCAGATTTGGCTCCCTGTGACTTTTTTCTGTTTCCGAAACTCAAATATCCGCTTCGGGGAACGCGCCATGAATCGATTGAGGCCATAAAAAGAAATTCGCTGAAGGAACTAAAGGCCATCCTGGCCGAGGCCTATAAGAAGTGTATGGAAAATTGGATTAATCGTTGGCATGCTTGTATTGGCTCAGAAGGAGGCTATTTTGAAGGCGATCATAAAAATTTGTATTAAAATACATAAAATTGTTGTTTTTTTTAACCAGTCCGAGTCAAATTTGATCAGATGGTAAAGTGTTTTGTCAATTAAACTGCTGCTCACAGCAGCTCCTTCATAAAATTTTAATTTTAATATAAAATTAAAGTAAAATTAGCAACGAAAATGAACCTTAATGCGTATACGGCTGTAATTTATGTATATAGACGAACAGGGAGAGGACGAGAACGAAAGAGGGGGGAGGAAGGGAGAGAGGGGGAGGGAGGGAGGGTGGGAGGGAGAGAGAGAGGAGAGAGAGGGGGAGAGGGAGAGAGAGGGAGGGAGAGAGAGAGAGAGAGAGAGAGACGATGGATGACGATACGAGGATGACGATACAACTACGTCGTTGTCGTTGGACGTCAACAATAGCAACGACGCTATGTGACGACGATAATGACGATGATATAGGGCAACGACGACGACGATCCAGGACGACGACGATGACGCCGGATGATGACGACAACGTTATACGACGACGATACAAGGCAATAATAACGACGACGACACAACAACGACGATACAGGACGGCGGCGGCGGCAGCGGCGGCGGCGGCGGCGGCGACTTTGATATATTAATATAGTAAATACGCATACGTACGAAGAGATATATTATTCATCATATAAGATGTTTAATACTACAAAATGCGTGATATCTCAACAAAATTATCTTTTTAAAAAAAAGGTAAAAAAAAGGCGCCAAGTATGCGTGTACCTCCCATAAATCTATAAAAAACTGTTACATAAATAATATATTCAAGTGGCAATATTTTTTAATTTTTTTATTATAAATTACCCCTCAGTAGTATGTATGTATATATTAAAAAAAAAAAAGAAATAAAATAATATTCTTGAGGCTTCCACAGGTGCTTTCTATATAAAGATTCTGCGTTTCACGGATTTCTTCCAGATCCATTCTTGGAATGCCAATGTTTCGTGAACCTTGCAGTCCACTTCAGAGCGAGGAGCAGCCTATTACTGGGCTGGGGGGGGGGGAGGAAGAGAGAGAATTGATCGGTCTTCAATAACCGAGAGAATGGTTTTCCATATTTTATTTATATTGTAATCATTATCTCTATTTAGATTGTTAGGGTGATTTTGTATCTCTATGGCTTCTCTATACTTTCTTGGATAATATGATGTAATGTTGACCATTGTGATCGTTTTGTCAAACAGTATTTGATGTCCTGTTTCGATGTTGTGTTCTGATAATGCTGACTGCGTGGCGTGTTTTAACCTGATATTACGTTAATGTTCTTCTACCCATAGGTTGACCATTCTCCCGGTTTTTCCAGTGTATACTTGCAGGAACAAGGTATTTTGTATACTCCTACGGAATTGAGTG